ATTTTATAATTTAAAAAAGAAATCTCAAGACTTTAATAAAAAATGAAAGAGTTATTCTAAAATGAAATAATGTGTACCTGATTAGAGCTGTCCGACTGTCGAGCGAACTTTGATAAGCGATATTTGAATTCCTTGCGCTTTGATAATTATAAGACTAAATTTAAAAAATCTTTTTTTATCTAAAAGCCCACATTTCGTTCTACAATTTAAAAAAAAATCTTAAAATTTTAATAGAAAATTAAAAGGTTATTCTAAAATCAAATAATGTGTATCTATTTTTTAATTAAGGTGAGCGAACTTTAATAAGTAATATTTGAATTCCTTACGCTTTAATAATTAAAAGACTAAATTTAGAAATTTCTTTTTTTTATCTAAAAGCCCATATTTCGTTCTATAATTTAAAAAAAAAGTTAAAATTTAATAGAAAATAGTAAAGTTATTAAAGGGTTAAAAGTAGAATAAGATATTTTTAATAATTGTAAACGCTAATTTATTTACTCGCGATAACTTAGCTAATCTAATTAAAGAGCGTAATAACTCTAAATTTATAATTAGCTATATATATAAATTTAAGATTTTTAAGCTTAGCTCTATCTTATTCTTTTATTTATATTAATAATATAGAATTATTTTAATAAATTTAATTATCTTCTTTATTATAATAGATTATTATAGTATTTTATTTACGATATCTATATAATTATTAAAAATAATAAACTTTATTAATTAAAGATAAATTAGAAAATTATTTAAGTCGATATCTATTAAGTAATTATTAATTTTATATTAAGAAAGCTATTATAAATAGTTAGACTAAAAATAATATATTATTACTTTTTTCTTCTACTAAGAAGATTTATAATTTATAAAATAACTTTATTAAAATATTCTTATTTTATTTATTAAGTTTAATCGATTAAATCTCTTTATAACTTTTATCTATAATCTAAAATAAATTAAGATTATTAAAAATCTTCTACTCGATGAATATACTATTAATCGACTTAATTTAATTATTAAAATATTTAAATTAAAGCTAAAGGCCTTTGTAAATAGTATTCTAAAGAGAAAGATATTAGATTTTTTTTTATTTTTTTTATTTTTTATTATAATATAATAGAGTAATCTCTTAAATAATATATTAATTAGATAATTAATATAAATTCTAAATTCTAAAGATATTTCTAATATAATATAATTTTTTATATATTAGAATTTCTATTAATTAGCTTTATAATATTATTTAAAAAATTTCTTTATCTCTATAAAGATAAAATATAATTAATTATAGTTTTAATTAATTTTAATCTTAAATAACTTTATTAATAATAACTCGAGTTCTTATTTATATCTATATTATAGAATTTTAAAAATAAGATTTATTATATACTTATATTCTTATTATATTATATTTTAAAAATTAATTATCTATTATTATTAAAATAAATATTAATATTAAAATTAAAATTTCTAATTAAAAATTATTTCTTAATCTCTATATAATCGTTATTAGATATATACTTTATAGAAATTATAATTAATATATTACTAATAGAATAGATATTATTTTATCTTATTAAGATTTAGATAAGTAATTTTTAACGAATTATAGTAATTATATTATTTTTAAATTAGATTTTAAATACTCTATATATTATTAATATAGATCTATTAAGATATTAGATAATAAATTTAAATAGAATTATTAGATAATATTTTATAATTTCTATTTATTAACTAAGTATAACGTTTATATTAATATAAAGATTTACGCTAATATAAAAGTCTATAAATATATTTTTAAGTATATTTATAAGAATAATAATTAAGTTAATTTTTAAATAAAGTATAAAGATAATATAGATTAAAATAATATAGATTAAAATAATATAGATTTAAATTAAGTAAATAAGATTTAGAAGAATTAAAATATATAATAAGTAAGCTTTATAAAAGTTTATTAAAGAATTTTTAACTTTAAATTATATAATTATAATTCTTCTATTAAATAGTTATTTATTTATCTTTTAAATTAATATAATATAATATTTAATAATAATAATAATTTAAATTAGATAATTAATATAATATATAAATATTATATTAAGCTAATATCTTTTTTTTAACTAAATTAATAATATCGATAATAAAGATAAATAAAAGAATTTTTTTATATTAATCTATCGAAATAATATATCTAGAAAAAAAAATAAGTAAGATATATTTAAATAAAGTTTATATTAGAGGCGTAGAAGTATTATTATAAGAATATATTATATTAATTTAAATATTAAAAAGCTCTTTTATCTATAATATCTTCTTTTAAATATATTAAATTTTATATTTTTTAAAGACTTATATATAATAAATAATAATATTTTTCTTTTTATTATAGTATTTATATAGTAAAAGATTTATTTTATAATAATATTAAATAAAATTAAATATTAAATAAAGTAATAACGTAGTAGAGAGAATATTGTTTATAATTTTTTTTATAATAAATCTATTATAATATAATTTTAATAACTCTCTAGATCTATAAAATAATTATAAAATAAAATATATTAATAATTTTTTTTATTAAATAGAAAAATTTTAAGCTTAAAATAAATAGCTTATTATATTAATAGTAATATTAAAATATTATAACTTTTTTTAATATAGTATTTCCTTTTTTATATATTAAAACTTTTTATATTAGATATATTTTTTCTTAATAATTTCTTTAATAAATTAAAATACTTTAAGTTATAGAATAAAAAGATTTTTATATTAATAGTAATTTTAAAATATTATAACTTTTTTTAATATAATATTATTTTTTTAATTATTAAAATCTTTCGCGTTAGATATATTTTTTCTTTTTTTATCTATAGATAATTTAATTCTTCTTTTATACTTTATATATATTTCGTAATTAATATATTATTTTCTTTATTTAAATTATTTAATAATTATAATTATATTCTTTAATTTTAATTTTAATTTTTTTTTCTATTAAATAATATATAATATAAATAAATTATTATTAAAGACTTCTATCTTTATTTAATTTAAATTTATTTAAAAAAAAGTAATATTAGCTTTATAAAGAATATTAATCTTATTATTAACTTTAATCTATTTATAATTTAATAAAATTATAAATAAAATTATATTAATAATTAAAATTAAGTTTCTATATAAAAAATAAAATTATTAAATTAATATTTAAGAGTAGATATAGATAAGTTTTAATAACGATTAAATCGCTAAAATTAATACTAATTAAAACGCGATCTTTTATTTTAATAATTTTTTTTTTAATAATTATAAAGGTATTAATAAAATTATATTTTAGAATATTATATTATAAAAAATAAAATATAATTCTAAAATAATTATTACTATAGCTTTATTTAATATTATTTTTATTCTCTTTTAAAATAATATTATTATTTATTCTTACTTTAAGATTTCTTTTTTTATTATTATTTAATTTAGTTATAATATATTAATAGAGTTTAATTTAACTTAGTTATTAAAGATAATTAAATTTATTTTTTAAGATAAGATCTCTATATAAAAAATTCAAAATATTAAAATTATCGATTATATATTTTAAAAAATTTAAAAATAATTTACTTCTTTTAATAATATAGTTATATATTTATATAATAATTTTTATATAAATTTTTTTAATTATTAATACTATTAAATTAAATTATATTACTCGAGTTATATTAAAAATATTTTATTCTTAAAATTATATTTAAACTCTTAAATTTATAAAAAATAGAAAACTTTAAAACTCGAATTTAACTAATTAATATTAAATTAATATAAAAAAAATTATTTTTAAAAATTATTAGATATAGATAATAATATCTTAATAAGCTTTAAAAAATAAAAAGATATTAAATAATCTATTAAGTAGTTACTAGATAATTCTATTATTTAACTAATTAATATTATTTATAATAATTTTAATCTATATCAAATAGCTAATTTCTATATATTTAAGATAATTCTTTATACTCTTAATAAGAATATTATTTAATTTAATAATTAAATTTTGAATAAGATTTTTAAAATTAAGATTATTTATAATAATAGAGATTAAATCGTTAATAAGAAAGATAGCTTTCTTCTACTTATTAAAATAATAAATATTTTTAAATTAATCTTACTTTTATTTTATTATTTAAAATTAAAATAGAATTATATAGTAATATTATTAAGAAATTTAAAATAGCGTATAAATTCTATAATAAGATATATCTATAAATTAAATATATTAGATTTAAAATATTTAATTATCGTATTTTTAAAAGTAAATATAATAATAAATAATAAATAATATTATATATTTCTCTAGCTTTATCTAATTTAAATAATCTATATACTCTCTTTTAATATATCTAATTTTTAATTTAATTAATTTTTAATATAATAATTAATAATTTTTAAAATTAGTTATTATAGTAGATTAATCTATATTTATATCTTAAGATTTTTATTTATAATTAATTATATATAACTCTAAATTAAATTATTAATAAAATTAATTTATTAATTATAATTTTAAATAATTTATTAAGAAGATAATCTACTTAATTAATAAGATATATTAAAAATAAGATTATTAAATAGATACTTCTTTTTTAGATAAGAATATAATTAATTAATAATTTATAATAATAGAAGTAGATTATTTATTATATAAAAAGTAAATAAAGTTTAATTTAATTTAAAGTTAGAGCTTTTATCTTTTTTATTAATTTTATAATAATAAAAGTAGATTAAAAATATATAGTAAGCGATTAAAGTTCGATTTATACTTAGAGCTAAAGCTATTAGAACTAGCATAGATACGATATTAGTATAAGTGAGGTAGATAGGATAATAAGGCTACCGAACTATATATATGAAAAGGAGGCATGATATAATAGAGGATGCCTCCGCCAAGGCCCGCTAGCCATAGGGCTAAGGGGTGTATCAAGGGTACGCTCGTAATACTACCCCCCCCTCTCAATAGCCATGGCCCCCATGGCTGGTAGACCGGAGATGCACGCCCATTGCTTGCCCTGTGTCTCCAAACATCCATAGTCCGTGTAGACCTCGACCGGAGAGGATTTGCCAAGGTGTAGCAGTCGAACATCGGATGGTTTCAATTCGTTTAAAAACATCATGTCCGAGGTTTTGCCGGATCGTATACTAGTCTTAACTGTGCCATCCATCCCTATCACAGAGATCCTAGAGATATTGGCCATATCTTACCTACGTGCTAGCAAGATTCTCCGAGTTCCTCTCCTCGCCTAGTCTTCTTACCATAGTCCTTCTGCCATTGAAGAAAATTCAACGCATATATTTACCTTCAACACCTACTGGCAGCCTAACCTGGGAGCTTCACTGTAGATTTACCCTATATCTCCCATGCTCTTACCATCAAAAATTCAGAGAAGAATCGAATGTATTGAATGCCATTTAATAGCAGGCTTACTATATATGTTATCGATATGCTTAGTAAAGGGGTCGAATCGTAATCGAGTTACCGAGTCTATTCCCGCCATTATAGTAGACTTACTATACTATCGATATACTTAGTAAAGAGGTCATACGTTTACTATAGAAAGAAAGAAAGAAAGAAGTATTTTAATATCGATATAGGTGGATTTAAATCGAAATTTATAATATATTAAATATAGGTAAGAACGGAGTAGAGCGGAGAGGTCTCTAAAGTTTTAGTATTATAAAGGCGTATTTTTGCGGGGAATAAAGCGGAGAAGGATTTCTTATATTCGATATAGAGGAGTTATTTTTTAATAGATTAGATTATCGTTAATGATATAGATTATTTAATAAAGATTCTTTTAAATAATATAGATATCTAATAATTTAAATATGTGGTGGAGTTTCTATATAATAGAAATACTCAGCGTTTTCTTTATTAGACTCGGTCGCTTACTTTAAACAGAAAGTAAAAAATTTAATAGCTATTTAGTTACTCTACTATCCTCGAGTATATAACTAAAAACTTAATTATATCTTATTTATTTAAGTTTCTCTTCGTCGGATAAGGAGGTATAAAGAAGTCTTATTATAATATTAGAATTAGTATAAATACGATATTAATATAAATAAGATAGATAGAATAATAAGACTATCGAACTATATAGATAGAAAGAAGATATAATATAGTAGAGAATATCTCCGCTAAGGCTCGCTAGCTATAGAGCTAAGGGGTATATTAAGAATACGCTCGTAATAAAAGCTAAAACTCTATTTAACTTAGAAAAATCTAACTTTATTTAACTTAGATAAATTTAACATTATAAATTTAATTTATAGATCTTTATTTATATATTAATAATAGATTATATATATTAAATATTCTTAAACTATAAATTAAAGCTATTAAAGATATATATAATTCTTTATTTAAAGATTATATTAATAGATTATTAATTTATAATAGATTAAATAGATACTATTATTAGTTAAGAATAACGAATTTCGTTATTCACTATATTAAGAGCTACTATATTTATAAAAGATTTAAGATTTATAAAGAGAGTAAATAAAGTTTACTTAAATATAAGAATAAAAGTACTCGAAGCGAATTAATAGGCTCGCTTATATCGCTTATTAGACTATAAGCTATATAGCTAAGACGAGTATTTAATATACTTAATAAAGTCTTAAATACTTATAAATTCTCTTTTCTCTTCTTCTTTCTTTAGTTATTAATTTATCTAGTAATTAATCTATTTATTCTATTAATTATATATCTAAATCTTATAATTATATAACTACTATATAGTTCTATTAAAAGAAATCTTATTATCTTATAATTCTAATAATTTTATTTATATAAAGTTATTTAATTTAGCTATAATAAGTAACTCGCGAGTTAATTCTATTAATTTATAAAGTAAAAATATTCTATTATAATCTATTAGCGATATTTTTAATTTAATAAATAATTTTTATTAAAATATATCTATTACGTAATTAAGCGATTATAATATTAATTCTAATATCGATAGAAATTCTAATAATATTATTAGCGAAAATAATAATTATTAAAGCGTTATATTTAATAACTCTTTATTTATAAATAAAGACTCTTATTTTATAGATTTAACTTAAGTTTAACGCTATTAACTTCTAAAACTTAATATTAAAAAATAATTAATTATTAAAAAATTTAAATTAATTAAAATATAGAATATATAAAAATATTATTATAAGTATAGCGATAATTATTATTATAATTTAAGTCGTAAAAAGATAAGTATTATTAAGATATCTAATACGTAATATCTTAATAACTATAGCTTAATAATTATATTTCTTTAAAACTATAACGATTTTATCGTCTTAATACTTTATATTAATTTTTATATAAATAAAAAAAAGACTCGCTAGATTTTAGCTCTCTTAGTAAATATTAAGAAGTAAATTTAAAGAAATACTAGAGATATAATACTATATAATATCGAGAAATTTATTTAAAAGAAATATAAGAAATAGTATTTAAATTAAGTTTATAATTTAATTATTAAATCTTATAATATAAGTCGCTAATTAATTAAAGTAATAATAAGAGATATATAATTAATAGTTAGCTTTAATAACTATCTTATTATACTTTAATCGTAATAATATTCTATATAATTAATCTAAAATATATAAAAGATTTATAAGATAGAGTAATAAAGAAAATTCCTCTAAAAGCTATAAAGAAGGTTATTTAATTTATTATCTATATTATATTATTATAATAATATTAAAATATAAAATAAAGATTATAAAAAATAAAAGAGTTCTCTACTCTAAATAAGACTCGCTTTAATAATAAGATAAATAATTAAAAAAGTAATAATTAATAGTATATTAAGTCTAAGAAATAATATATAAAGAATTAATAAGATTAAAAGAAGAGTTTATTTTTATTAATATTATAAGATTAAAAGCTTAAGCGAATTAAATTTTAAGATAATAACTCTTATATTAAGTTTAAGATATCTCTTATTAAGATATAATATTATAATTATAAATAGTTAAAATATTATAAGAATTCTTCTAAATATCTAAATTACGTTATAAACGAAGTATATAATTATAAATTAAATAAGAGAAAAGATAAAGTTTAATACTTATTATTATAATATTAAATACGCTATTAATTAAGCGATAACCTCGCTCTCTATTATTAAGAGATAAAATTATTATATTAAATTGAAAGTGTAAAATAACTATTCTAATAAATATCGATAGCGAGAAAATCTTTATATTATAATCTTTTATTAAAAAAATATAGATTTCTAAATCTAAACACGCGTTAATAATAATATATACTATTAATAATTATTAAATATTCTTATATAAGAAATATAATCTAGTTTTCAATCTCGCGAATAGTCGAAAAAAAAATAAGAGTATATCTGAAAGATATATATTATAAATATATAAGAATATAATTTTATTTTTAATTTCTTTTAAATTTATAATATCGATTTAAATATTTATTAATATAAGTAGTTTTAGATCTATTACGATTTTTCTATAAGCGATAAAATATAAATAAATATTATAATAATAAATATAAAGTAATTTACGTTATTAGCTAATATAGTAGTTATATATAATCTAAAATAAGCGTTTATTATATTTCTATATTAAATTCTATTTAAAAATAATTATAATAAAATTATATAATATAATATTACGTAGCTAGATAACTCTAATATATTTAAATAACTTAAAAATCTATTAAAAGTCTTTTTAGAAGAATTATTTAATAATCTTAATACGTATAATTAGATTAAATATTTAATCGATTTACTATCTAGAAAGTTATCTAGAAATAATTCGATTTATAATATATTATATAACGAACTTATAGCGATTAAAAACTATCTAGATATTACGCTTAAGAGAAAATAAATTTAATTCTTAATTAATTAGATTAGCTTATTAATACTATTTATTAAAAAATTAAATAACTTATTATAATTATATATTAATTATCGAGAGCTTAATAAGATAATTATTAAGAATAATTATTTATTATCGCTACTTTTAAAGATCTTAGAAAGATTTATATATACGAAGTATTTTATTAAGATTAATATTTATAATATATATTATAAAATATAAGTGCGAAAGAAAAACGAGTAGAAAATTATTTTTCGAACTCGCTATAGCTAATTTAAATATTAAATAATATCTTTTAATTTTATAAATATCTTTATAATCTTCTAAATTTATATAAATAGAGTATTTAAATTATATATTAATATCTTTTATATAATATACTTAAATAATATATTAATCTATTTCGAAATAAAAGAGTTATATTAAGAGTATATATATAAAGTATTACGCGTATTATTAAAATATATTTTTAATTATAATAAGATTATTTTTTTAAAGTTCTTAATAAACTAGCGTAATATTTAAATAAAGTTATTATATATTAAAATTATTATTAAGTAGTTAGAATTAGAGTCTATTAAGAATATCTTAATCTTTTTAAAGTTTATAAATTTTTATTAGCGGTTTATATAAGGCTTTTTATAGATAATTATATTTTTAATAGATTTAACTCGAGAGATAAAGAAAGATAAGATTAAATTACTCTTCGTATTTAATAAGAAAGTATATAAAGCTTTTAAAATACTTAAGCGAGTATTTATTATCGCATTTATACTAGAATACTATAATTAAAAAGTATTACTTATTATAAAAACTAATATTTTTAATATAGATATAAATAATATATTTAATTAATTAAGCGAAAATAGATAATAATACTTTTTTTTTTCCAGTTATAAATTCAAAGACGCTAAGCCTCGCTAAGATATATATAATAAAAAACTTTTATATAATTATATTAAATTTTAAGAATTAAAAATATTATTTATAAGATAATAAATATTCTATTTATATAATCTTAGATTATAATAATTTATATTATTTTATAATAATAAAAGAGTTTAATATAAAGTAGATTCGCTAAGTTAAGAAATTAGCTATATTTAACTTTATTATTAAATATTATAAGAAAAAATTTAATTTTATAAATATATTATTAAGAAGATTTAATATTATTAAATTAAATAATAGCGAAAATAATAATAATAATTTTCTTTCTATCTTACGAAATAAGCTTTATAATTAGAAA